GGGAGAGGGAGAGAGGAGAGAGAAGGAGGAAGAAGAACATTTATTCAATGCCAATTCTTATTTAAAAGATTTGGAAATTGCTGGGGGGAAAAAAAGCATAATTTCAGCAGATCCATTCCTTCATTTCAACAAAAAACAAAACCCAACTGTATTTTTTTTTTAAAAAAAGGAAACGTCATCCCCTACAACACAACCTCAAATGGGCGATTTAAAGCAGTGTTTCTCAACCGGGGCCACTTTAAGAAAAGGGTGGACTTCACCTGCCAGAATTCCACGCACGGCTGACCGGGGAATTCTGGGAGTTGAAGTCCACCCCTCTCTTAAAGGGGCAAGAGCGCTGTTTTAAAGCGCCTTCGTCCTGACCTTACAGAACAGATTCACATCCAGAAAAACCTGCGGATTCTGAACGCTTTTATCTTGCGTGTCCTGGAACAAAAGGCGGATTCTTATCCCAGATCCCCTCCAGGGAGATCCCGGCTGGAAAGGGTGATCTACCCACACTGCTCTCCAATCTGTAACCAAGCGGGAAAACCCTGTAAAAAAATTAACAAGCCTACCGTATTTCCCCATGTATAAGCCACCCCTTTTTTCCAAAATTTTCAAGCCCAAAAAGTAGGGGGGTGGCATATACAAAGCAGGTACAGTTTTTATACGTGAAAAATGCATAAAATAATAAAGTAGGAATAAACTGGTTTTCCAGCAGTATGCTATACTTTTTTGTAAAAATTGTACGTGATGATACGATTATGAGTGCGAGTACGCGATAGAAATGCATACGCTAGGCATCGGCCTGAATGCTTCGTTCCTACTCTCGTTCCGATGCGTCGATTGCTAGCGTCGCCCGCACCGCTTTCGGCGTCATGACCGAAGTTGTAGATCTAGACGTCGAATTTTGTTTCTTTGTAAATTTTCTTTCTTCATAACTTGTTTCTCTAATAAAATATTTTTTTCAAAACTTCACAGTCCAAAAATTGGGGGGAGTGGCTTATACAAAGGGGGTGCTTATACATGGGGAAATACGGTATCTTGCTTATGAAAAACTCCCAGAGATTTCCTACTGCTTAAACCTAGACATTGATCCAATAAATCTTGGAAGCCTTGGGATGCTTTGTGGATTCCCAGGGATTTCCAGGATCACATGACGAAGGACCTGCCCCCCCCCCCCCACAAACCTGATTTCTTAAAAAGCTGTCAATCAAAAAACTCACTAGATGTGGAAAAAAAAAAAGAAGAGAAAATTGGAATTTAATTCCCGGTTCTATTTTGGCACCGCTAAGAAGCTTCTGCGAGTTTTCTTTTTAAAGCCTTGGGATCTTCTCTAACACAAAATTCAACTTTAAATCCAGCAGGATCGCCACTGAGATAAAAGGATCCAGTTTGGGGGGGGCGGGGCTTACCTGGATCGTGTCCACCGTGTCCCGGAAAACCGGATTGTTAAATTTGACCATTCGCCAGAAATAAGGTTTGCGAGGATGCAGAAGGTTGCGCCCATATTTCTCCAGGATCTGGAAGGCAGTGCAGATCAAGCGGAGACACACCTGGAACTGAAGAGGAATTGGCCGTTCAGCCATATTTTTTTTCCCCTCGGGAGTCCTAACCGGTCCTGGGTTCAAATGCAGATGGCTTACGAGACGTTCCCGGAAGCACGCTTCATTCAGCTGGCACTCAGCTTACGTCCGTTCCTTTAGCGACCATTGGAAATTAAAACGGCGCTGAAAAACAGTGACTCAGGACCGTTCCTCGCGCTTAGAACTGTTCCTCACCCTTACAACCGTCGTCGCATTCCCACAGGGTCACGTGATCCTAATTTCCCAGTCAAGAGTTTCCCGGAGTGACGTGATCACCACTTGGTGACTTCTTCCTGGCTGGTTTCCCACCTAAGCAAAGTCCAACGGGGGAAGCCAGATTCGCTTCGTGACCGTGCGATTCACTCAGCGACTGCGGCGGCAAAAAAAAAAAACGATGCAAAATCGGGTGCGCCTCACTTAGAACAGCTGCCTCGCTGAGCCAGGAAAATCCTAGTCGCGGTTGTGGCTGTAAGCTGAGGACGACCTGCAATCAGCCCACCCAAACTGTTTCGTCTTGAGGACTAGAACCTTGGTTTTCGAAATGGGGAGCCTGAAGACCGTGTCCCTAAATTCCCCACTGGGGAATGCATAGAAAAATGAACCCCAGACCGTACCTGGGCCCTTCCTCCCAGCTCCCCTTAAACTCCGGTCTGCTTCCAATTTCTATTTATTTATTTGTTTATTAATTACTATTTATTAATTTATATGCCACCTATCTCACCTTCAAGGGACTCTGGGCGGTCTGTGACAATATAGAAACATAATATAAAACAGTAAGTACATTTAAAAAAAAAATAGTTCGGTTCATCTGCTTAATTTTCAGCCTTGACAAGGTCAGTTTCTTCCCGCCGGTGGGTTCAAGTAGCATTGCAGGCGGACATTCAACAGGTAAAGCAGCATCCAATACAGGATCTACCCTCCCTAATATCCACTCACCTCCTCAGGTAAAGCACCCCACGTGGGGAAATCTATCGTCCCACTTATCCACTCCTCTCCCATAACGAGTCAACGGAGCACGATGGGCAGACATTCAACAGGTAAAGTGTCCGATACAGGATCTATACCTTCCCTCTCGCTCCCACTCCTCACCTGTTCCTTGACGTTGGCTCGCAAAATGCCCTTGACGTTGATCTGCAGGTATTTCTCGGCCGGAGTCGACGGCGCTTCCACCAGGCGCTGCAAAAGTTCCGCATTTTGTTCGGACGGATTCCGGATCAAGGCGTTAACCAGCTCCTGACGAAGGGCCCCGAAGGTGCACGCAGCCTCCCCCATCTCTTGACCCCCCGCAACACACAAAGACACAACAAAAATCACACGTGAGATGCAATCTCTGGCAAACGGGAGAATTCCTTTGCAGGGAAGAAAAAGCAAAATGTCTTTTTTTTTTAAACTCGGTTTATAACAGCCCTACGAGGTAGGCCAAAGGTGAAGTTTTACGCTGAGGAAGTCTGGGCAAAGGTAGACCTCGACTTATGAGAGTTTGCTTAGTAACCGTTCAAAGTTGGGGGAAAAAGTGACATAGGACCGTTTTTCAGAGTTATGACCTTTTCGGTCAAGTGATCAAAATTCAGAGGCTTGGCCACTGACTCGCATTTACGACAGTCAGTGTGTCCCAGGGTCACGTGATCCCCTTCGGCGGCCTTTTAACCAGGGCAGTCAATGGGGGAAGCCGGATTCGCTTAACAACCATGTCACTAAGTGAAGAACTGCAGCGATTCGGTTAACAGCAACGGTCTCGCTTAACGAAGGAAATTTTGGGCTCAATTGTGCGCGTTAACTCGAGGACTCCCTGCAGTCTGAATCAGAGTTGAAGATGGAAATCTTGTGGACCTCAAGAGACCCCTCAAAAGATTATGAATGATTAAGCCAGCTGGGGGACTTTGGGCCTGTCTCTCTCAGACCAGCCACCTCGCAGGGTTGTTGTGACAAAAACAGAAGGAGGAAGGAGGATTAAGGACTCCCCCCACCCTTGAGTTACTTAGAAGTACAGATAGTCCTCGACTTACAACAATTCATTTTGTGACCATGTGAAAATACACCGGCACTGAAAAAAGGGACCGACAACCGTTTTTCACACTTATGACCGCTGCAGCCTTCCCACGGTCACGTGATCAAAATTCAGATAACGGGCAACTGGCTCGTATTTACGACTGTTGCCATGTCCCTGGGGTCATGTCAGAGGTGGTATTCAGCAGGTTCTGACCAGTTCTGGAGAACCGCTAGCGGAAATTTTGAGTAGTTTGGAGAACCAGCAAAATACCGCCTCTGGCTGGAGATTTAGCAGTATCCTTCCCCTGCCATGCCCACCAATCCACGCCTACCAAACCGGTAGTAAAATAAATTTTTGAATCCCACCACTGGGTCCCGTGATCCCCTTTTGCGACCTTCTGACAAGCGAAGTCAAATGGGGAAGCCAGGTTCTCTTAACAACCGTGTAGCTGTAGTGATTCACTTAACGATGTGGCAAGAAAGGTCACAACATGGGGCAAACCCCAATACATTTCTCATTAGCAACACAAACGTTGGTCTCACTTGTGGTCTTAGGTTGAGGATAAAGATATAATAATAATTATATATATATATATATATATATATGTATATAATATTATATACGGCAGCAACCCATATCAACCATCAGAACCAGTCAATATTTGTGATACATTTTTAAATGTTCAGTTGACTGAATTTCATGTTTAATGAATAAAAATAACAATAATAAATTATATATATTTATATATTATATATAGTATATAAATACATATAATAATATTATATAAAGCAGCAACCTATATCAACCATCAGAGCCAGTCAATATTTGTGATACATTTTTAAATGTTCAGTTGACTGAATTTCATGTTTAATGGATAAAAGAGATAATAATCACAGCACTGGCAACAAAACAGCAACAAGAACTATGGCAAAAAATAATGACGATATTGCTAATATTACTACTAATAAAAATAAATAACAGGGGAAACCTTGGAGACTCCTAAAGGGAAAACAGACGCATCTTTTCATCTGTCAAAACAATGCAAGATTTTGGACTCCTGAAGTCTCGATCCGGGAAGAGAGAGCGCGGTGGCGGGACTACAAAGACCCTCAAGACATCAGTCGGGAATGATGGGAGTTGTAGTCCATGCCCCAGGCAAGTCGAGGAGCCGTTGCCAAGAGCGAGAGGCTGAGGCTCCTCCAGGGGAAGCAGCGGCGCACCGGGAAAGGGGTTCAATCCGGTTCTTCCGGGCACCCCCAAATCGCCTCCACTCCGGATTAGAACCCGAGGCAGGAAATGCTGCAAAGGGGGAGGGGGAGGAGGATGGGCCTACCTTGCAATCAGGCTCTTCCTTCCCCGCCTTGCAGGAAGCCGCCGCGGGGAAGAAGCAGCCGCCCGCTGGAAAACGAAACCGGGGCGAAGTGAAGCAACAACAACCAAAAAAAAAAAAAAAGCGAAGCGAAGCGAAGCGAAGCGAAGCGACCTCCGGGGACGTGGAGGAAGAACTACAGGAGTCGTCGGAGGCGAAAGAGGGGTGGGGGGGTGGGGAACGGGGACACCTCTGAGCATAGGCAGAGCGCCGCCGACCGCCCTAGCCAAGGATGCCCCCGGGCAACAGAGGCGCCGTTGCAAAACGCCGTTGGCCAGGATGGGAAGGGAACGAACGTGGGAAAGGCGTGCACGGGGTAGAGAGAGGAGGAGGAGGAGGAGGAGGACATGGGGTGTGTGCCAGGCTCTCCCCTCCATCCGAAGGGAAGGGGGATAGAAAGAGAGAGGAAAGGAAAGGAAGATAGAAAAAGGAAAGGAAAGGAGAAAAGAAAGGAAAAAAGATAAAGGAAAAGAAGATAGAAAAAGCTAAGGAAAGGAAATGGAGAGCAAGAAAAGAACAAAGAAAGGTAGGGAGGAAGAAAAAAAAGGAAGGAAGGAAAGGAGGGAAATAGGAAGGAAGAGAGGAAGGAGAAAAGAGGAAGGAAAGGAAAGGGAGGTAGGAAGAAGGAAAGGAAGGGAATGAAATAGAAAGCCAGGAAAGAACAAAGGGAGGAAGGAAAAAGGAAGGAAAGGAAGATAAATAGGAGGGAAAGAATAAACGAAGGAAGGAAGGAAGGGAAAAGAAGAAAAGAGGAAGGAAGGAAAGGCAAGGGAGATAGGAAGAAAGGAAGGAAAGAAGGAAAGGGAGGTAGGAAGAAGAGAGGAAGGAAATGAAGTAGAAAGCCAGGAAAGAACAAAGGAAGGAAGGAAGGAGGAAGGAAAGGAAGATAAATAGGAGGGAAGGAATAAACCAATGAATGAAGGAAGGGAAAAGAAGGAAAGAGGAAGGAAGGAAAGGCAAGGGAGATAAGAAGAAAGGAAGGAAAGAAGGAAAGGGAGGTATAGGAAGAAGGAAAGGAAGGGAATGAAATAGAAAGCTAGGAAAGAACAAAGGGAGGAAGAAAAAAGAAAGGAAAGGAAGAGAAATAGGAAGGAACAAACGAATGAACAAAGGAAGGAAAAAGAAGAGGAAGGAAGGAAAGGAAAGGGAGGTAGGAAGGAAGGAAAGAAATGAAATAGAAAGCAAGAAAGGAACAAAGAAAGAGGAAGAAGGAAGGAAGAAAAAGAAGAAAAGAGGAAGGAAAGGGAGGGAGGAATGAAAGAAATAAAACAAAACAAGAAAAGAACAAAGAAAGGGAGGAAGAAGGGAGGAAGGTGAAAAAGGAAGAAAAGAGGAAGGAAGGAAAGGAAGGTAGGAAGAAATGAATGAAAGAAATGAAATAGAAAGCAGGAACAAAGGAAGGAAGGAAAAAAAGGAAGAAAAAAGGAAAGGAAAGAAAGGAAGGGGAGGGGCGAGGCTGAACGGAATGTGGGAATGTGAAAGTGAAATTGACTTCGCGGCGAGCCGAAAACGAGGCGTCTTTTCTTCTCCCGCGGACCCATCGCTGCACCCCGGACACCATGGCCAAATTCTGCACCGCCAACATCCGAGTCCCCAAAGAGACGCGCGAGAAGGTTGGGGGAACCGCAGGACGTGTGAACTGGGGGTGGGAGGTTGAATTGCAAAGCAAGGGTTGCGAAGCGGTTTGCAAAAAGATGGCGGGGGGTGGGGGGGAGAGGGTCCTTCTCCCCACGGAGCTCCCCACCTTTTTTACCTCCCTTGCCTCTGAGCATGGGCAGAGCGCCCCACTCTTTTTCAGTTGCTAGCAGGAACGTCTGAATAGGATTGTTTTTATTATTCGAATGGCGGTGGGAGAAGAACTCTGCATCAGCTCAGAGGGCTCTCAGCTTGACAGACGGGGACGGGGGGGGAAATGATCGACAGAAAAAAAAATAACGTTTTGGTTTTGCATTATAACAAAATGTTGCTGTGTGTTTTTTAAAAGAAAAGGGATTGGTTTCGTGTGAACGGGCTACGGGGGTTTCCCAACTTTTAAAAGAGTTGAGAAAAAGGAGGAGGGGTAAACTTTCAATCAGTTTTTTTTCCCCCTCAACCATGGCCAGTTTTAAGAATGTGGACTTCAATTCCCAGAATTCCCCAGATGCCCTTCCTGTCGCCAGCTGGGAGTTGAAGTCCACAGCTTAAAACAAGCCAAAGTTGGAAAAAAAACGCAGCCAAAAACAGTGAACATTGCTTTCCTGGAAACGAAGGATCTGGAATAATTCGACTGAAACCGTTTAATCAAATTTCCTAGCTGGAAAAAAAAAAAAAAGCGCTTCCAATTTCTTGGATTTTAGCCAGACCTGAAGTTACGCCCTGAGTTCATTCTCTGAAAATAATCCACTGGGGTGTTTCTGAACCAATCCAGAATTGCAGAGTCAGCGTGACATGTCACGCTGCTTATAAAATTTTTTTATTTTATTTTTTCCAATTCCCAGTCACGCAAACCGAATTCCTGAATAGTATATTTTGCTGCCTGTTGATTTAATTTACACCTGTTTGCAGAACCAGCTTTGCAAGGAGCGGAGGCTTAAAATTTCAATCTTATACTTTTAGGGATCAAAAACAGTATTTCCACACTTGTTTAAATACGATTTCCATAGTTAACACTTTATCTAAATTTTATGTTTTTCAGAAAGGGTTTATTGCTAGAGTCAAACATACAAGGGGAGATTTGCTGTTCGGAGCTGTGTTTGCATTTTGGGGGGCTTTAAAGGGGAATTTTTCTGATTCTACGTGAGTTTTTCTTTAAAAAAAAACCCTCCAGTATGAAGAAAAGAGGGGGGTTTTCTTAAAAAATCCCCAGTATGAGAAGTCTGTCTACTTCTGCCAATTACGTAGAATAAACAGCAGGGAGCCCATGAAAGCCAAACAGCACCCTTTTAGGACCACAATGGAGAATTCATGTTGCTAAGTGAAACGTCCCGTTGCTTGCTGCTGTCGTTAAATGAATTGCTGCAATTGTTAAGTTAGGAACACCGTTGTTAAGCGAATCTGGCTTCTTCCCCATTGGCTTTGCTGGTCAGATGGTCGCAAAAGGGATCACATGACTGCCAGGACACTGCAACCATCATAAATACAAACCATTTGCCAAGCACTTGAATTTTGATCGTGTGACCATGGGGATGCCGAAAGTGTGGGAAAGGGTCATATGTCCCTTTTTTCTAGTGCCGTTGTGACTTTGCATGGTCACTAAAGGAACTGTTGTAAGTCAAGACCTGTATTATTATGCCATCGATTGGTTTATATTATGGGCGCTTTTGGCTCTGAGAAGTAATGTGGTATCTCGCAAATACCCTTTAGGAAATCTTGCACTGAACAGTGGGTTGGCCTAGATGACCTCAAAGATCCCTTCTGAGTATGACTAGTATTTCACCTAGTCACCAGATGTTTCTGGTGGGGCTACAGATCAGCAGGATTCCAGTACAGCTATAAACCTAGTTTAAGTTTAAAGTAGTTTGGCTGATTGGCTCTCTATCACAGTTATATGTTGTTTCCAGCTGCAATTTCATTGAAGATAGATGGAGGGAGATTTATGATTGGGCTTTAGGCTATACACAGTACCTTCAATCTAATGAGGGCTTTTTTGCTGAAAAACATTAGAATTATTCTTTTTTTTCCTGCAAAACTTTTTGCATTTGGGGAATTAATGAGATTTTTCAGCATGATCTCATGTAATCCTTCTGTGTTGTTCTAGTCCAATGATTACAATACATCTCATAATTTCCTTTTATTTCTTTAGATGGCTCTTTTTAGAGAATCACTTTTGAAAGAGGTAAGTCTCTATCGCATGACAAATGTTCGCCAATTATTGGCTATTTTTCCTCTTCCCAGGTAATTAACTTTCTCCTTCCTTTCTTCTTTCCTTCCTTTTTTTCTTTTCTTCCTTCCCTCCCTCCCTTTCTCTTTCCCTACAGGGTGAAGAATTTCTTTTCACATTTTTACCTACAAAAATATTTCAATTGGATAAGTTTCTTAAGGTAAGTGAACGTCTGAAAGCAAAGTTTTATTGGCAGGACATCTCTGCATGTTTTTTTAAAGTGTAACTCCTTCTCCACCCATCTAGGAAAATTCGCTAAATGTTCAAGATTTGACTACTCTTAAAGCTCCTTTGGAGATCCCTATTCCAGACCCCCCACCCAAAGAAGATGAGGTGAGTTATTGGGGTGGTCTTCTCCTTGCCTCGCCCCACCCCAATTCAGTGCAACTTTTAAGTGATGGAAAATGATATTTATGGATCCATGTATTTTATTCTTTGCAGATGGATACAGAAAAAGAGGAAAAGGAAGGTGAGGAAGAGGAAGGAATGAAGGGAGGAAAGGGGGAAGGAAGGAAAGAAGGGTGGAAGGAAAGAAGAAAGGGAGGAAGGAAAAAAGTAAAAGAAAAAAGGAAGGAAGGAAAGAGAAAGAAGGAAAGAAAGGAAAAAGAGGGAAGGAGGAAGGGTGGAAGGAAAAAGAAAGGAAGGAAAGAAAGAGAAAGAAGGAAGGAAAAAACAAGGAAGGGAGGGAGAAAAGGAAGGGTGGAAGGAAAGAAGGGAGGGAGGAAGAAAAAGAAAGAAGGAAGGAAGGAAAGAAAGAAAGAAAGAAAGAAAGAAAGAAAGAAAGAAAGAAAGAAAGAAAGAAAGAAAGAAAGAAAGAAAGAAAGAATGAATTTTAAGGTATTTCCCAGCATTTTATGGACTTAATTTCTCTTCTGCGATTCCCAGCTCCAAAATGTGGCTATCTCAAAGGAAATGAGGTTCTCATTTCACTTCTGGATCGTGTGAAACCTGAAGTTCGTGAGTTTAAAGAAAAGTGCATTTTGGTAAGTTGGCAAGGGGGACTCTTCCCTCCCTCAGTTCCTTGGCCAGGAAGTTCCTTGGGGTTGTGCATTGGATGAAAAACGATGCGATTTTTTTTTATTATTATTCCTGCAAAATCACTTCCATCTTTTCTCCTGATTTCCCCATCAGGTCACGACCTGGATCCAGTTCATGATCCCCAAAATTGAGGATGGCAACGACTTCGGGGTTGCAGTTCAGGTACATAACAGAGTAACGGAGACTTTCTCCGCGCCCCAAAATTTTTTTATTTCTCTGGCTGTGGGAATCTCCTTTGGTGGCACATCGGCCATTTTCTTTCCTGTGCAGGAGAAAGTGCTGGAACGTATCACAGCGCTGAAGACCAAAGCTGACGCTTTCCAAACCACCATTGCTAAGTAAGTGGTCGTGAAGGGCGGGCGTGGAAAGGAGGCAAAGCAGAGAGCCACGTGGGATTTGGATTCCAGAGTATCGTGAATTGTGTGCTATACTCGGGCGCCATTCGCTCCTATTGGTGTTTCTCTCCACCCCAAAACTTCTGTCAAACTTCATGGGGTCATCTCCCACATTCCTAGCATCATAATTATCAGAATCTGTGCTTCTTGGGGCATATCATAGTCAGTTCTTCCTTATTTGCAAGCATCCTGGGTAATCTTTTCCTTAGCCAAGGTGCTATTGTGGCCTGTTGGCCGCTGGTTCCTCCAACAGCAGAATCAGGAGATGGAGGAAGGGGGGAAGAGGAAATGGTGCTGGCAGAGAGAGAGAGGCAAGCCTGGGCCTTCCACCAGCCCTCAGGTGGAGAGTCAACAGCCCCCAGGTCTGGAGGTGGCTGATGAGGAAGAGGAGGTACAGCTGGGTCCAGTGCCTGACATGCGGATGTATGGAAGGCAGAGGAGAGGAAAGCAGTGGAAATCTATGGGCCGGTCCTCGGGATGGAAGAACCACCGCTGCTAACGAAGGGATTATGGGATCATTAATAGATGATGATATAAAGGACTCCCTTTGTGTTTTTCATCTAGAAGGTTCATGGCTGTATATTTTTATTTTGTTTGTAGGCACTAGTCCAGAGAAAACTAGTTTGGTGTGTAGTTAAAGCACTAAGCTGGAAACTTGGGCGATTGTTCTAGCCTTGCTGTATGCATGAAGCCAGCTGGATTATCTTGGGCCAGTTGCGTTCTCTCTCCCTCTCCCTCTCTCTCTCTCTCTCTCTCTCTCTCTCTTTCTCTTTCAAAATAACTTTCAAAACACTTGTCAAGAAAATGGCACTGATTTGCAACACATATTTAAAAAATCCCCCAGTCCTAAATGCTGTAGATCCAACATACTTTCTTGTTCTTTTAGATATTTTTTGGAGCGTGGCGATGCGGTCGCCAAGGCTTCCAAAGACACTCATGTGGTAAGTGATGCAGAAAGAAGGTTGTAGTTATTTGAGGTTTGTTGGGTGGCAGGTCTGATAGAAAAAAATGTGGGTGTCCCCCTCCCCTGCTGACTAAAAGCAGGGAGAAGACCTTCCTTGAAGTCAAACCAGCTGGTATTGACTGAGAAGGCAAAAAAAACCCCAATTCCATATTGAGTCAAGACCTTGAGTAACTCACTGCAAAATTTACATAATAGTTCTTGGAAGATAGCAATAATTATTCCTGTTCATAAAGTTCCTGCCTCATATAGATTTTGAAGTTCCCAGACTCATTGGAGTCAGGCAGTGTACAAATTTAAATAAAAATGGACGATGACAACTCTTGAAACTCTGTTCTTGCTTAACCGGTTCCATCATGATATTTTAAATAAATCAAACTCTTTGGACTTGGAGAAATGTTAATCTGTAAACCCTGATTTCTGAACCAGTGTCTGGATTCACATCATGCGCTACATAAAGCCAGTCAAACTAAGTTATGTCTAGAAATGTCCTGGAGATCTAACCTGGTTGTAAATTTGTGGGGTCCTTTTTGGTCTCTGAGCTTGGTTGCTTTCTTGCAGACTTTTCATGACCCAACTAGGTAACATCATCAGGGCTAGGAAGGAGTGGGAGTAGAGGACGAGAAAGACGAAGAAGAGAAAGACTGTGGGGTCCTTGGTGCTCGCTTGAGCTTAGTTGTTTTCTTGCAGGCGTTTCATTACAGATAATCCTTGACGTACAACCACAATTGAGGCCGAAATTTCTGTTGATAAGTGAAACATTTGTTGAATTTTGCCCCAATTTGCAATCGTTCTTACCACAGTTGTTAATTGTTCAGCTGGTTACACGGTTGTTAAGTGAACCTGGCTTTGTCGGAAGGTCATAGAAAGTGACCACATGACCCCAGGACACTGCAATCGTCATAAATGTGAGTCAGTTGCCAAGCATCTGAATTTTGATCAGGTGACCATGGGTATGCTGCAATTAATCGTAAATGTGAAAAATGTCCGTGTTTTTCAACGTTATTTCGAACGGTCATAAAACGAACTGTTGTAAGTCAAGGACTACCTGCACTCAAGTAGGTAACATTATCAGTGCTAACCAGTTGCAATTTGCTTACCTGCAGATGGATTACCGGTGTTTGGTTCATGAACGTGATGAAGCCATTTACCGAGAATTGCAGATTATGGTGCTTGATATCCGTGGATTTTATGTAAGTGAGCCAGAACGATCGTCGTGGATTTCTATGAGGAGAAGATCGAGAGGACAGGGATAAAGGAATGGAGATTTCTTTCTTTCTCTAACCCTTTCTCATTTCTCTTCGCCGCAGGCTGAGCTGTACCACATCCTAAGCAAAAACTTGGAGAAATTGACCAACCCCAAGGGCGAAGAAAAGCCATCCATGTACTAACAGGGAAAGAGGCATTTAAGGGAAAACAGGCAAGGGATGTTATGGGGGTCAGTTTACGCTAATAATAGAATTTGCCAGAATCCGTGACCGCCGTTCCTTGCAGGGGGAGCTCAATTTAACTTTTTCTGTTTTTTGGGGCGGGGGGCGGGGTTGTTGGGCAAACATAAAAATACAGGATTAAAAAGAGATCCGAAATATTTAGAACCCAGAAGAAGGGAGATGTCTGGGAAGGGAGCAAATAGGGTAACAAAATAAAATGTTTCAATCAATTTGGTTTTCTCTGTGTCTTTATACGAGAGGTCCATCAAACACCATCTTCTAGGCAAAGCTAGAAGGAAATATTTCTCAGCCAGAATTTTTTCTCTAACGGCTATTTTAAAAGAGTTTTCATGGTAAGAATACACAAGCTTATTATCATATTATCCCCGGAAGATTGTTCTAATCAGGTTAATAGAGGTTATCTCTGCCTGTGTTCAGAATAAAAATCGGTAAAAAAAAATCTAACATGGAATCTGAAACAAGAGTATTTTAAAATACCGTCCTCTGAATTAACATGTCTGATTAATATGTTGTTTCAAATAAATTGCTAGATGGTCTAATTAATTTCCCTTGATACAGCCAAAACTATTTTTGCCTTGATTTTTCCTGATGAATATTAAAATATAAATACTTATATATTCCCCTCCTAAGAATAGCAACTATGAGTACTTTGAGAAAGGAAAAATAAGGAAGTAGCTTGTGGGTGGATTAAACAATCCTTCCACAAGCACTAGTTAGCTGTTGGGGTGTATCAGGAACTGAAGGTGTCAATTTCTTGAGAGTCATCTGGCTTTTGACTAGCGCAATTTCCAATTCTTAAAAATGCTTTAAAAAGAAGTTGTAACCTGAAATCGCCTTGACCAATGTCATGAAACATCTTGATCAACAAGATGCCAAAAGAAAAATGGGAATTAGGACATAGAAAGCTGTAGAAATCGTCTTCCATTTGTGTTTCTTGAAAAATGAAATTGTGCTTAGAAATCATATGAAACCATCATTTTAAAGCAGTGTTTTTCAGCCTGGGCAAGTTTTAAGAGGGATGGATTGCAACTCCCAGAATTCCATAGCCAGCCATGTTGAGTGGGGGATTCTGGGAGTTGGAATCCACTCATAAGTTACCCAGGTTGAAAAATACTGCTTCATTTTTTTTCATAGGTGACTTGATTAAGCCATTTTCAAGCTTTGCACCGTACATTAAATGCACTAGGCATACATTTAATGTCTAACTCTAAATAACTAAAAAGGGACTATTTTGTGGAAATTTCATCACGGTTTGGCAGTTTTAAACAGCCTAAAGCTGAAAAGGTACAGCTTTTCTAGATATGACAATATGCTTCAGAAAGTTCCATCTGTTAGCATTTATAACCCCAAACTGACAAAGTTGGACTCTGGGTTCACTATATCATTTCAGAGCAGTGGTTGATGGGTGGGTGGGGGTGTTTAGGGCTGTCAAACTCTATGGATTTTGCCTGAAGAAACCAGTCTGGTAGGCTACTCTATGGTTCCGGGACAGCAAAGAGGAGACTGAAAGGAAGAGTAGAAAATACTTCCGGTAAATACAGTTCTAGATTGTACGTCTATGTACGTCGAGCCTCTTTCTGCAGGGGAAATCCCGAGGGAAAGAATCATAGAATCTCCATAGACACATAGAGCGGACGTTTTCCCGTCTGCATTTGGAGAGGAGGAAGGAGAGGGTAAGGTCAATTGAAGACCGGAAATGATGGAAGGGCGACGACAATGTGGCTCGTCGTATTGTCACATGGTATGGCAAAGAACATTAGGGCGTGTCAGTTGAAAGAAAAACTTCCGGCCAATCAGAGAGCGAGCTGAGTGCGCCCAATGAGCGAGAGAGAAAGAGAACCGGGCGGCCGCGGAAGCTGTGTTCTGATTGGATTCTTCCTGACCAATCCGGAGGCGCTC